GGGACGCGGGGAGTGGGAGGGGGGTGCGACGCGGAATAAAGCGTGCGACGCGGAATAAAGCGTTCGTGGCGGAGGGGGCAGTGGGCGGGGCCCCCGCTGGGGAGCTGGGGACGCGGGGAGGCTCGGGGCAGAGAGCCACGGCGCGGGGGTCCCACTCTGGCGCTGGGGACGCGGGGGAGGGGGTGCGCGACGCAGAATAAAGCGTTCGTGGCGGAGGGGGCAGTGGACGGGGCTCCCGCTGGGGCGCTCGGGGCAGAGAGCCACGGCGCGGGGGTCCCACTCTGGCGCTGGGGACGCAGGGGGGGTGCGACGCGGAATAAGGTGGTCGGAGCTCTGCAAGATAATAAATCGACACAAATTATAATATTCCAATATTTCCCCATAGTTTTCTAGGTTTTTATCTTCCCACCATTTCCTATATGTTCCAAAATTTTCCGGGGAGTCGACGACTAATTGTGTCTGTGTGCTTCTTTCCCTCATGAGTATTGCTTGCCCTTTGTTTGTCTTGTTCGTGTTTCTCTGTAGCTCGGCCATCAAGAACGAGCCTGGCGGCGGGGTGGAGCAGCGCCCGACGCAGATGACGAGGACGACAAGAGAGGGGAGGAGCAGGAAGGGGCGACAAGGGGAGAGATGTCCCCCTCCTTCGTCCCTTCCCCCCCATCGGCCCAGGGACGGCGCCGGGCGCCCCCCGAGTGGCTCTGGGGCACGCCTCCAGGCTCCGTCGCATCACACCTTACAACGCAGCAGGCAGGTGCAAGCGGCAATGCATGTTGCTAGGAGGGGTCTGGTAACCCACACATTCTGTCTGATGTTGTGCCTCCTGAGATCTAGGCAAGCCGTGGAGTCTTGGGCTTTCTTTTTTGGGTTGGGAGCCGTCAAGGGTCGAGCCCTGGACCTCCAGGGGCGCGTTCTGGCCAGAGTCTCAGAGCGGATCCAGACGGGGCGACGATAAGCCGGGCAAAGACCCAAAACTGGATCAACAAGCAAAAACACACCCTGATAAGGAGGAAGACCTCCATCCTGGCAAATTTTGAGCTGCGCCCATCTGTGATAACCACTACCGTGGAAACAAAGCGTCCGGAACGGCGGCGTGGACGACGACGTCGGGGCCTGACGACGACGACGACGATGACGACGACGACGACGACGACGACGACGACGACGACGACGACGACGACGACGACGTCGTGCAGCCCGACGTCCCCGTGCGATAGGACCCCAGACCTTTGCAAGGGTGCGCTCTGGCCAGAATCTCGTGGCGGACCTAACCGTGGCCACGAGAACGCCCCAGAGAGGCAAAATATCATACACATACCAGACTCTTGACCCTTCGATCCCTCGAAAGCGAGCTTGCGCGTCCGAGGGGAAGCGGGTCCTGACGCTACTTGCCGCCCGGGACCGTCAATGAATCCTCAGCATGAAGAGCTGCCCCTGGAGGGCAAATCCAGTGCCTACGTATGACCCGTCACCCTCAGCACCCCTGCCTCGGCACCAAGAATATAATGAAATAACGCGCCGCCGGTGGGAGCACGTCCGTGGGGCACTCCTTCGAATTTTTGCCCGACGGCCTGGAGTTATTACTTCTGCAGTAACACGCCGACGGGTTCTTCAAGGCGGCGTGCCATTGATATGGTGAGGGCGTTGGACTCTGCACCATTGGCCAAGGAATCCAGCTCCTCCTCCTCCTCCTCCTCCTCCTCCTCCTCCTTCTCCTCCTCTGTAAGCCAGTGGAAAACTCCCACCGCGGAGTGGCCCTGGATTCCTGGATGCCGTTCGCCGCGCCCGCGTCAGGCAAGGGGCCGCCCGGGGCCTGAGGCCTCCTGGGCTACGCAGAGGCCTCCTAGATGGGGCCCGAGCAGATGGGGTCGGAGGATCTCGCCGCATCGGCGATGCATCGGCGATGCATCGGCGATGCATCGGCGACGCCAGCGAGAGGCACATCGAGCTCCCCAATCGAGCTGCATCGCCGATGCATCGGCGCTGTGGCGCGATCCTCCGGCCCTGGCTGCTCCGACATCATCTGGGAGGCCTAGGTGGGCGCACTCCTCACTGCCAACGCCGTCGCCGTGCTCCCTCTGCTGATGGGCCGAAGTTCCACCACCACCACCACTACCACAGGTCGGACGGGGGAGGCCCTCCTCCTCCTCCTCCTCCTCCTCCTCCTCCTCATCCTCCTCCTGGTCGTCGTCGTCCTCCTCCTCCTCCTCATCCTCCCCCTCCTCCTCCCCATCCTCTCCCTCCTCCTCCTCCTCCTCCTCCTCCTCCTGCTCCTCCTCCTCCTCCCTCGTCTTCCTCCTCCTCCTCCTCCTCCTCCTCCTCCTCCTCCTCCTCCTCCTCTCTCTCCTCCTCCTCCTCCCCCCCCTCCCCTCCCTCCTCCTAATCCACCTCCTCTTCCTCCTCCTCCTCCTCCTTCCTCCTCCTCCTCCTCCTCATCCTCCCCCTCCTCTCCTCCTCCTCCTCCTCCTCCTCCTCCTCCTCCTCCTCCTCCTCCTCCTCCTCCTCTCCTCCGCCTCCTCCTCCCTCTCCTACATGTGGTAATGGTGGTGGAACATCGGTCCATTATCAGCTCCCGACTGCCGTCACGGCGACCCGCGCGACGGGCCCCGCACGGCCGGCCGCGGCAGGCCCGCGGCCCGCCGCGGCCCGCGGAAAGCGGGGGGCACCCTCGGGGGGAGCGCGGGCGTTCGTGCGCGGCCGGCCATTGGGCGTTCCTGGGCCGAGACTGCCGCGGCAGAGCGTCGTAGGTGCGGCCACTACCGCGGAGGCCTGGGCGCCCCCTCCGAGCTGGTTGCGCTGGGCAGCTCCCCCAGTCTCCTCCTCCTCCTCCTCCTCTCCTCCTCCTCCTCCTCCTCCTCCTCCTCCTCCTCCCCTCCTCTCCTCCTCCTCCTCCTCCACCTCCTCCTCCTCCACCTCCTCCTCCTCCTCCCTCCTCCTCCTACTCCTCCTCCTCCTCCTCCAGCGGGGGCCCGATCCCATCCCGATCTGGATCCGGATCTCTCTCAGAAATGACCCCCCCTTCTCCTCCTCCTCCTCCTCCCTCCTCCGCCTCCTCCTCCTCCTCCTCCTTCCTCAAGCCAATTGGGTTCGAGCATTTTGCCAGAGCCCGATCCCTGTACCTTCATCGGGGTGCTTGAGGGATAGCCTAGCGAGTCCAGCCCACACTCGCCAGGTTAACGAAAGCAGGGATGACAGCAGATGTGGTGCGCCCAGCCCGTCCCGCCAGTCGGGGGAGGCCCTCTCGACCGTGGAGTCGGTGCGCGCATTGCAAGACGTGTGAGTACAATGACAGGTTGGCCGCATCAGGGGGCAAGTGCCCCACATGCAGCAAGGAGATCCGCCTCTACGTGCCGAGGGCGCCCAGCGTCTCTTTCGACGAGCGCGTGGAGCAGATCGAGTTGCAGGACGACGGCGGCACCGTCGCGGGGTCTGGCAAGGCTCACGCAGGCCGGCCGCGCAGCCCCAGCCCCAAGCGCGGAGGCAAGGGCGAGGCTGGTGCCAAGGCCAAACAGTATGCGGCAGTGCAGGCGCTCTTGAAGGAGGCTGCCGAGGCGTCCGACGACATCTTGTTGAAGTCGGCGCTGGCGGCCCAGCAGGAGCGGCTGCAGCTGAAGGTGCAGCAGGAGCAGCCCGTCTCGGAGGCCGAGACCGTGCGCAAGGCCGATGGAGCCTGGCGCGCGGCGTCTCACCGCCACGAGCAGACGGTGACGCAGGTCCTGCGCTTGAGGAAGCAGTTGCAGGTGGCGCAGAGCAAGGAACAGAAAGCAGCTGAGGACTTGGCGCTCGCCGAGATCCACAAGAAGCGAGCGGCCGAGGCCTTGGCGAAAGCCGAGGGAGTGCAGGCCACGCAGACCACGGCCGCCTCGGGTGGTCAGATGCCTGCGTTCGAGCTGCGCATCAACTCGGCGATCTTCGACCAGTTTGAGAGCTGGGATTGCGAGGAGAGCGACAAGGAGCAGTTGAGAGAGTTAAAGCGTGAACTTGATCAGTATCGTTCGGCTTTCGAGTCCAAGGACGTCCAGGTACGTGCTTTCCTCGAGAAAGTCGACAAGTTCGAGAAGGAGGTCGTGGAGCGCATGAACATGAGCAAGAAGAGGCGCACAGCAGGAGCTGATGAAGGAGCCGTCGCGGGTGATGGAGGTGGTCAGGGCGTACCTCCTACTGCGGCTGCTGGAGGCCCTGAGGGAGTGGCTGCGGCGCAACAGCCTGGCGCTGCAGCTCCAGCTGCGGCTGCGAGTGCCTCGCACGCGGCTGGTGCTCCCACGGGCGCCTCGGGCACGGCTTCGGCGCCGACGGAGGCTCAGGTCAAGGAGGCTGCTGCCGCCATCTCCAAGGCCAGGTTCGACGCGGCGAAGGCCGTTGAGAAGGGCAAGGGCAGCGGCGGCGGCGGAAAGGGTGGCGACGTCAGGGTCCCCGACGCGGACAACGAGGATCTGTGACTAGGGGCTGCGACAGCTCCGCTGGGGGAGTCGTCCATGGAGACGACCACTACGGGCAGCAGCAGTCCTTCAGGCACTGGTGCTTCAACGTCGTCATCGGGGAGCTGCAGTACGACCAGTACTGGGACCAGCACTACTGCATCGCTTTCGTCATCGACCAGACTTTTCTTCGGCAACACAACGCGCATGGGGGACAAAGCTTGGGGATATCTTTGTCAGACGGCACGGGCGCACGACTACGTCACCGCGCGCGAGACACATGTGCATCAACGAGACCTTGGTAAGTGGACGCCCAAGGCACGTGCTGCAGGTTTGAAGTTGCTGGCCAATAGCGCCAGAGCCAAGAGCAGATGGAAGCAGGTGCACCCAGATCAGGAAGCTCGAGCGAATGAAGGAGGTGAGTGGATGTTGGTTCGTAACCATCGCCCTGCTCAGGTTCTTGATGCTGCTCGTAATTCCCCTGCCCTTCGCCATGGTCGATGTGCAGCGTTTGATGGGTTCCTACCTGTGTTATTGCATATGCGCGGGTTCTCGCTTGTAGTGTGCATCATATATGGACATTCGGGGATCGGCTTCAGTGGCGACAACGTCCCTCGACTGCGTCGCATCGGCAGTTTGCTTGCATCACTTCAGTTACCATGGATTGCCATCGGTGACTGGAATATGTCGCCCACGCAGCTGTGCGCAACAGGTTTCGTGGAAAAGGTAGCAGGCATCGTCGTCACTTCTGAGGCTGAGTTCACTTGCACATCGGGTGAAAATCGACCCTCGCTTTTAGATTTTGCTCTGTGTTCCGAGGCTGCTAGGCCTTATATCCTGGGGCTCAGGGCCGTCCTGGACGTTCCGTGGAAACCCCACATCGGCCTCAGTCTGGAATTAATCTCAGAAGGTAGTAAGTTGTATACTAGGTTTCTGGATTTACCACCCCAGCTCCCATCGGTGCCTCGTCCAGCTAGGCAGCCTGTGGAAGGTTCGAAGTCGAGCCGAGCTAAGGTGGAGCGTAGGTTAGCACAGCAACTGGCCAAGCAAAAGCGGCATGATAGAATTCGTGAGTGGTTTCCTGTCGAAAGTGCCAGCGTGGAGGTGGAGGGGGTGAGTGGTCCGCAGGTCCCCCTCAGCGAAGCCGAAACAGGCGTCGGCGAGCCGCTGGGTGGTGACGGGTTCGATTCCAACGAGGAAGAGGACCCGTGGGTCTTCGAGCCCAGCTTCGGACCCGACCCCGCCCCACCCGCTGCCTCTCTGCCTCCCTCACAGTCAATGAGTAATTCAGCCCAGCGTGAGAGCCCCCCAGATAGTAGCCCCGAGCAACAGTCTCACGAGCAGGAGCCATCGCCCACAGGGTCTGAGGGGAATTTAAAATCTAACGCTGAATTTAAGCTAGCCGAGGTCACCTGGAGTGCTGAAAGGAAAAACGTCGGCTTCATATCGGCGGGCACCTACCCACCTGCTGATGCTATTGCCCGTTCCGTAGCACATTCCCTTGGCTCACATCATTGTGATAGTCTTAGCAGTCTTTTCAGTGCGTGGATTCGCACAGTGGAGGCCAGTTTCGCCTCGCATCATGGCCAGGCCAGCCTTGGGAGATCTCGCGCTGAGGGGCCCAAGTTCCGTACCGACACTGCCTTGGAAGCGACGCCGTCCAGGATTGCACCTTTGAGGGATCGCATCAGTGGATGGTGGACCAGGACCCACGTGGTGTTGGATACAGATGCCAAGCATCTGGCTAGAAAGAATGGTGTAAAGCAGCAAGATTTGTTAGTTTCGACGTGCAAGAGGTTGGCTTCGGAGGCTCCCGATAAAGGCTATCAGGTCATCAGGCAGATGGACGGCATCTCGTGGGTTTCTTGGTTGCAGTTTCTGTCTTCGGTTGAAACTTTGAGTGCGCATGAGCTTGCTGAAGCAGTCAAGTTTAGTGAACGTATTTCGCAGAGAAGCCAGAGGCGGGCCGTCAGTCAGTCTCTGGCCGAGTTTCGTGAATGGACAGAGTCTCAGAGTGCGGTGTCCACCCTCCACAGGGCCATTCGAGAGGTACCGCAGGCATCTCACTCGCTCGTGGACGGTGATAAGACCATCCAGCACCCGAGGGACATCATGGACAGGAAGAGCCAGAGGTTCCAAGAGCTGTGGGCCCCTGAGGGTCAGCAGCTGGAGGGGCTTCACTCTCTGTTCGCCGACATCCGTGCGCGCGTCGCTGGGGAGCCTCTTCCACCGCTGACAGGGGAGCAGCTGCGGGCAGCTGGCAGAGCCATGAAGCAGACGTCGGCCATGGGAGTCGATCGCCTCACGGCGCTCGACACCGATCGGCTCCCCGACATCGCGCTCGAGGAGCTCGCGGTGATCTTGGCCGCCTGCGAGGCCTGCCAGACATGGCCGCATCAGCTGCTCCTGACGATCGGCACGCTGTTGCCGAAAAAGGTCACGGGCGACAGAGTCATAGGCTTGCTGCCTCACATCGCGCGCCTCTGGTCCCAGGCGCGCGAGCCGTGGGTGCGCTCGTGGACTGAGGAGTGCGAGGCGCCGTGGGACGCCGCGATCCGCGGCAACGCGGCGCTGCAAGAGGCGTTCGTCCGCGTGGTGGACGAGGAGCTGGCGGCCCGCCTGGGCGTGGCCCACGGCCACGGGCTGCTGAACATCGCCAGCTTTTACGACAGCATCGGGTGGCTGCGGCTGGGGCTGACGGCACTAAGGTTGGGCTTCCCAGCTGAGGTGCTGGGCCTGGAGCTGCTGCAATGCATGGCGGCGCGGTGCCTGCGACAATCGGGGGCCTACTCCGAGGCCTTCGCACCGACCAGGTCGGTGGTGCAGGGCCTGCGTTCAGGCGCGCGTTTCGCCAAAGCAGTAACATATTTTATTATGCAGAAGATTACAACCACTCATGTGTATCTTTCCCATAGGTTGTGGATTGACGACTTGAGCCAGGTGTCCAAAAGGTCCAGGCGAGCTGTGCGTGACCGCCTTGTTGCCTGCCTGAAGGAGACCTGCATGTTGATGCAGAAGGACGGCCTCGCTATTTCCCCCAAGAGCGTGGTGGTGTGCGCTAAGCTCGCGGACGCCAAGGAGGTGGTGAGGCGCCTCAAGCCTTCAGGTTTCACTGTGACGGCGGCGGCGCAGACTCCGCACCTCGGCGTTGACGTCGGCGGCGGCAAGCGGCATGCCAGAGCGACGCGGACGGCCAGGATCTCACGTCATCGGAAGATGCACGCGAAGGTTGTGAAGTATGCGCGTACAGCCAGACGTTACAGGCTGACGGCAAGGTTAGAGCAACAAGGCGCTGCTGCTGCGGGCGCCTACGCTCATCAAGTGCATGGTGTTTTTGGTCATCGAATGCGACAGATGCGAACTTTCTTGTGTGACGCGTCCAGCCCTCGGCTCACGGGGCGGTGCGTTACGACGGTGCTTGATTTGCGTGCTCCAGGGCGTGATCCTGCTTGTCGTTAGCCGAAGGAATGTTTGCAGATGTGGATTCGTACATGGCTTTCGCAGCCAGCTCTCAGAAATGGGATCGACAGGACTTGGAGGCAGATGGCACAAGAGTTTCGGTCGATGCAACCCCAGCTTCGTAGTCGACATGTCAGGGGACCTCAAGCTGCTGTTATCACCTATCTACTCCAAAAAGGGTGGGAACCTGAGGGTCCTGCTGATTGGAAGGTCCAGCCCGACGGCACGGGGATGCAGCACAACTGGCAATTCAACCCAGCGGCCTTGACGGGCTATGAGAAGGTTGATGTCCCGAAGGCATTCTTGCAGAAGTACGAGGGCGCGGTGATGCAGAGGCTGTGGCGGCAGGCTGCTACTCATTTCGACGGCGCAGGCATGGAAGGTGGGATCTGCAACCTTTCCCTGCGAGCCCTTCTTCGACAGCTCGAGGAGGGGCCCAACGGCAAGCAGCTGTCTGGCATCCTGTTGTCTGCAGCTGCGGGAGCAGCCTGGCCGCGGGAGCGCAGGTCTGAGAAGTCCAAGTTGCCGATCTCGCAGGTATGTGCAAAGTGTAGAGTTGAAAGGGAGACTTCTTTCCATAGGATTTGGAGTTGTTCCAAGTGCACAGATCACGACATATACAAGTTGTCAGATGAATATGCACCGAGGGCCCACACGCAGCATGAGGTCGAGCCATGTTTTTGGCATAGAGGTCTTCTGCCGCAGGCGTGGGTCTCGGTTCCGCCCCCACAAGAGGAGGCCGTTTGGTGGAGTGAGGGCGTTGAAGCGTTTGAAGATAATTGCTTCGGCGTGGGCTCCGAGTCGGCCCCGGTTTGCCTTTTCGGCGACGCGAGCGGGGGCGAAGATACTTCTGACCCTCGCCTCAGACGTGTAGGTTGTGGTCTAGCGCAGTATTCAGATATCTCTGATAATATGCAACTAGTTGCTTCTGTGTGGGGGGGGGCCTCCCTGGACCCGTCCAAACAGTTGCCAGGGGTGAGCTTTTTAGTTTTCTCACAGCGTTGATCGGTGCTGATGGAGTGGTGATTTATACCACCGATAACGCTAATGTCTGCTCTGGTTGGTATTGTGGCCGAGCATTCGCCCCAGAGGGGGAGAACGCGGATTTGTGGCATCAGGTAGGCCAGGTACTCAGTAGAAAACCCAACCTTGTCTGTACTGTCCTTTTCGTGTACTCTCACCAAGAGGCGTGTGACGTCCTCAAGGGCAGAGCTCCTTTGTATTTGGCTGTGGGAAATGCTGCCGCTGATAAGTTGGCGTTGGCAGCAGCATGTGCAGTCAGAATCCCAGCCCCGATTCGTACCAGAGTTCTCACGAATGAGAAGATGGCTTTCGCCGTCCGCATGCGAATTCTGCTCGCCACCTTGGAAACTTTAAAAGCCGAGCAGGCCTTGGCGGCCGAGGAGCCCCGCGGGACCCGTGACAGGAACCCTGGGCCCAGGCCACCCGCGCCTGTTGTCTGCAAAGAGTTTTCCACGGCACATACGTTGTCTGAAAGCGGTCTCTCATGTTTGAAGTGTAGGAGTTCAACGACTAAGGCTAGGAGAAAAGTCTGGTTGGATACCCCCTGCTTCGACCTGAGGGCTGTAGATGGCGTTGTGTTCAGGCCGCCCCCCCGTTGCAGGGTGCACATCTGTGGGGGGTGGGCTGATGAGACTCACAGTTTACAATATCACGCTGGGCTGGGGATATGGTTCTGCGGCACCTGTGGTAGTTTTGTGGCCCAGCAGTTGGCCCAACTCGGGAAGAGGTGCGTTGGCAGACCTGCAGGTAATCGTGTAGATTATTTGAAGAATATCGAACGGGGGATCTGGCCTAAAGCTTACAGCAAAGCTGATCAGGCCAGAAGAGCGGCTCGTTCTCTTTAAGCTAATCCGTAGCCGACACAGTCGCAATATCCGTAACTCCGTAACTCCTCCTCCTCCTCCTCCTCCTCCTCCTCCTCCCTCCTCCTCCTCCTCCTCTTCCACCTCCTCCTCCACCTTCTCCTCCTCCTCCTCCTCCTCCTCCTCCTCCTCCTCCTCCTCCTCCAGCGGTCGGGGCCCGATCCCGATCCCGATCTGGATCCGGATCCTCTCTCAGAAATGACCCCCCCTCTCTCTCCTCCTCCTCCTCCTCCTCCTCCTCCTCCTCCTCCTCCTCCTCCTCCTCCCCTCCTCCTCCTCCTCCACCTCCTCCTCCACCTCCTCCTCCTCCTCCTCCTCCTCCTCCTCCTCCTCCTCCAGCGGTCGGGACCGATCCCGATCCCGATCTGGATCCGGATCCTCTCTTTCAGAAATGACCCCCCCTTCCTCCCTCCTCTCCTCCTCCTCCTCCTCCTCCTCCTCCTCCTCCTCCTCCTCCCTCGTCTTCCTCCTCTCCTCCTCCTCCTCCTCCTCCTCCTCCTCCTCCTCCTCCTCCTCCTCCTCCTCCTCTTCCTCTCCTCCTCCTCCTCCTCCTCTCCTCCTCCTCCTCCTCCTCCTCCTCCTCCTCCTCCTCCTCCTCCTCCTCCTCCTCCCTTGAGGTCGTTCCGGCTTCCGGCAGGAATCCCCGGCGGGGCTGGCTCGAGGCTGCAGCGGGTCCCGAGAGGCCTTCTCTTGGCGTTTCCCAATACGCGCGCCCCGGAGCTCTCCAGAGGGTCCTTCGGGAGCTCTCGCCAGGTCCTTCCAGAGATCGTCGGCAGGCTTTTCCACGCCCTTCGGGCGCTCTGCTATCCGGGTTTTGGACTTAGCTGCCCCGATACGCAACACGCAACACGTAGCGTATTGATACGGAGCTCAACACGTAGGCTGAAAACGTAGGTCCGACGCGATACACTCGCCAAAACGTGGTCCAATACGTGGAGCAACACGCAGCGTATTGACACGGACGTCTTGAACACGGGACGTATTGCGTATCAAAACGGGCGTATCGAGGCAACTAAGGCTTTCGACCCCGCAAGTTCCAGCGGACGAGAACAAACGTTACGACGGCTTCCCCAGCTCTCCTGCTCCATCCCCCCCTCTTCTGCTTCTGCACTCATGCGCGTGCTCTCCTCCTCCACCCCTCCTTCTCGCCCTCCTCGCCCTCCTCCTCCTCCTCCGCCTCCTCCTCGTTCTCCTCGCCCTCCTCGCCATCCTCGCAGCTCCACCCCTCCTCCTCGCCCTCCTCCTCCGCCTCCTCCTCCTCCTCATTCTCCACCCCCACTGCTCGCCCTCCTCCTTTACACGTTGCACCCACGCTGATCGGAGGGATCGCCGTGAACGAACGTGCTGGGAAAAAAAAGGAAAGCAGACGCTCGAACACAAAATTAATAAACAAGCAGTGCGCGCACATTATGAACAAGAAGGGCTAAGAAAAGCGGGAAAGTGGAGAAGCCCGAAATGGCAGGGCATAGAGGAGCGAACAACGGTAAGGTTTCCCAACACCCCCACCCTGCTCCTCCTCTTCCTCCTCGTTCCCTGGAGGTCCCCAGATGACTCCGGAGGACCAGGCGTGGGCAAAACGCTGAAATGCCTCAGACCTTCATCCCCGTCTTATCATGTCATCCACTGTCGGCTTTCTGGGAGTATTCAAGATTGCGCAGCGGTGACGCGTGCGGGCACGCATCCGGGGCGCCTCCTTGTCCTGGGCTGGCTCGATCACGCGGTAGGCGGGGATTCGGTGCCCCCACCACAGCTGGCGGGAGATGCACCATTCCTGCGCCCCAGGACCTCCTCCTCCCCCCTCCCCCCTCCACGGCTCCTGCTCTTCCACGGCCTCCTCCACCGCCTCATCCTTCTCATCCAAACCCTCCTACCTCTCCTCATCCTCCTCCTTCCCGATCCGGTATCGGCTTCCCTTCGGCCTGCCCTCCCCTCCTGCTGCTCCTGCTGCTCCTGCTTCTCCTGCTGCTGTTCCTGCGCCTCCTCCGCAGCCATCTTGGCTCAAGGCCGCTCCGGAGGCCCACGGTTCCGGGTGGGCTGCTCCTTCGACGTGGCCTCAAGCCCGAGGTGGCCGTGGTGCGATGGGCGGACGTGGCGGATTTGAAGGGGCCCACAACACACACAAATGAATACACACAAATCCCAGGATTCCCCATATTTTCCTATATTTCCTGGGATTCTGTCTTCCCCCCCGCTTCCCATAGTTTCCCATATCTTCCTGGGGATCGACGATGAGTTGTGTCTGTGTGTGTGTTTTCCCCCTTCTGGGGACTGCGGAACCGTGGCTTGTTGGCCGCGTCGAACGAGACCCCCTCTGGGGACCGCAGCCCCCTCTGGCTGCAAGGATGGAGCGAGTATGACAAGGGGGAGGTTTGCGACTCAACTGCGCATCCACGACGTCGTCCTCCTCCTCCTCCTCCTCCTCCTCCTCCTCCTCCTCCTCCTCGTCTCTTCCCTGTACCTTTCCGTCCCCAGCGGCGGGCCGCAGCGGGTCTGCGCGCCCGGCACCAAGCCACAGCCGGACTCGATCGGACAGGACACGCGAGAGGAATCGGGCCTGTCCACCTACAGGGGGACTTCTCGAAAAATCAGAGATACTCAAAACATACTCCAAAATGGTCCAAAAATCATCGAAAAATAGTCCCCAGACTATTTTTTGACTATTTTTGAATTTCCCCCCTGTGGAGGGACAGGCCCGACTTAACACAGGACCCCTCCGAGTGCCACATTGCCACTGGAGTGCAGGAGGCATGGGTCGCGAGACACATGACGCGAGGGTACCCTTGCTCTGGCAGGGTCGGCCTAATTACTCCTCCGGGCCGCCCGTCGAAAGACCTCGTCGGCAGCGCGGCGGCGTGGCGCCAGCTCGCAGTGGGCTCGCGCGGCGACGCCTGAGCTCTGAGCTGTCCGACGGCGGTGGGCGCGGCGGGTCTGCGCACGCAGCGCCAAGCCAATCGGCAATCTCTTGGCAGCTGAGCAGCAGAGTCGCCCGCCCGCGCCGGGCTCGCACGGCGACGCTCGAGCTCATGCGACAAATCTGCTGCCGCTTCTGCGATCAAAGTACGACGGAGGAAGTCGTGGCGCTCAGATGCAGGACTTGGGATCCAATGCCGTACAGTGCGGCCGCGGTCGCAAGGAAACCCTCGCAAGAGACCCAATCCTGAAAACCCGGGCGCGAGGTGCAACCGAGGGAGAACACGGGGCCCCTGGAACGCAGCGGCTCCTTTGACGGCCGCGGGAAGCCACCGCGCAGCGCGCGGAGCGAAGAAACCCAGGGCACCCTGACGAAAAGTAGATGGTTTCTTGATGCGCGCCTCCACTGTAATGCAAAGCCTTTTCAGCAACCGGTAGGTCGCCCTCGCTGATGTACATTCAGGGTACGGCGCTACGGCTTTCTCGTGGAGCGCCGAAGCAAGGGCACATGTAAAAGCGTGCCGGCCCACGGGACAAGGGCTTGACATTCCACTAGGGCCGCCGAACGGATTCCGAGATGAGGTGAGTGATGTCGAGCGCGATCCGACTACACAAGGAGGGCGTGGAACGGACCGCGCGAAGAGAACTCCTCAAGGCTGGGCTGGGCAATCCGAGTTCTGGGAAAACTGGTGCGACACTGCTCACAGGCAGCCGAGCGCGGAGAATCGCACCCTGGGGCGCTGCGCTCGCGGGCTCGTCATCGTCGTCGTCGTCGTCGTCGTCGTCGTCGTCGTGATCGTCGTCGTCGTCGTCGTCGTCGTCGTCGTCGTCGTCGTCGTCGTCCTCGTCGATGTCGACGGTGGCGCCGTCCTCGTCTGGCCGTCGTTGACGCCGACTCCGTCGTCGACGTCGTTGTCATCGCCGTCGTGGTCGTCGTCGTCACTGGCCTAAAAACTGGGCGATGAAACTAAGCGGCGCGAGTGGAACGTCACGGGTGCGTAGAACCTTCTAGATTTTCGTTTCGCCCTCTCCGCGCGGATCCAGCTTTTCCTGGCCCAATCGGCCGCGGACCTCTGGGTCGCCTCTGGCCACTTCTCCGTCGGGCCCCTCCCCTGCCACAGGGCGGAGGCCTTCACCTGAGAGCCGGTGCCGTCCGCCTGCGCGGTGCGGCAGACGCTGGCGGTCGCCGCCCTGCGCGCGCGCCTCTGGCCTACTGGCGCGCCGAGCCGCCTGGCCTGCTCGTCGGCGCACGCCTCGAGCTCGGCCGTCGACGCGCCACCCGCCCGGCGCGCCCGCGCAGGGGCGCGTCGTTGACGGACTCCTTCGGCTACACGCAAGGGTGACCCCGGGCAAGCGTGGCCTTTGGCGCGCGGCCTCTGGGGGGGCCGCTGGGGGGCCGAGCCGAGCACAACCGCGCAAGACGCTGCCACTGCATCGCGTCCGGCGACTTGGGGGCAAACTTCTGCCCGCACCAAAGGTCACTCCGGCGAAGGGTCACTCTCACGTCTGGTCGAGTGCTGCTCGGCCCGAGGCGCCTGCTGGGCCCTGCCGGAGCCCCGCCGCAGAGTCGGCGGGGGTGGCCGCCTCGGGGGCGTACACGTAGCGCTCGGCAGTCGGGTCGAAGGAGGCGCGCCTCGCTGCCCCCGACGCCCGAAAGGGAGTCGCGAGGTCGAGTCTGGATGTGCGTAAGGCACCACTCCGCTAGACGAACTGCGCGACAATCTGGCAGCCCGCAGCCCCGCAGGGAGCCGCGAGGTCTAGTCTGGATGCGTAAGACGCGCCCCTGCTGGCCCCCTCATGAGCCCGCGAGAGTGGCTCGCAATTCGCAACCCCAGAGGGAGACGAGAGGTGTAGCCTGGATGTGCGTAAGATACCACTCTGGTGGGCCACCAGGAGCCCACCAAAGGTGCGGCAGGTTCAAGGTTCGCAGCCCCACGGGGGGCCGAGGGGTCGAGCCTGGATGTGCGCAAGACGCCACTCCGCTGCCACCCCCCCAGAAGCTCACGAACTTGGTGGCAGTCGCAGTTCGCACCCCCCCCCAGGGAGACGCGAGGTCGAGCCTGGATGCGCGTCAGGCGCCACCCCCTCTGAGCCCACCAGGGGCCCACAAACGGAGCGACCATTTCGGAGCCTGGATGCGTGTAAGCCACGGCTCCGCTGCCCCCGCCTCCCCCCCTCTCCCCCAGAAGACCGCGCACGTGACCACCATTTCGCAGCTCGCAGCCCCGCAGGCAGCCGAGAGGTCCAGCCTGGACGTGCGTAGTACACCTCCCCGCTGTGCCCGCAGGAGCCCACGACGGGCGCGACACGTTTGCAGTTCGCAGCCGCACAGGGAGCCGAGATGTACACACCTCTCCGCTGGGTCCCCCAGGAGCCCGCGAAACGGGCAACACTTTCGCAGGTCGCAGCACCCCCCCCGCCCCCAAGGAGCCGAGAGGTCTACTAGCCTGGATGTGCGTAAGACACCACCCCTTTGCCCCCCAGGAGTTTACGAAACTCGCGGCAGCTTCGCAGTTCGCAGCCCCAAGAAGCAGTGGGGATCCAGCAAGAAGCAAACTGCAGGAGGACACGGCGGGGAGGAACAAAGGGGGCGGGAAGGAGACGCGCGAGCAGTGCGCTACTCCAAACGAGAACCCAACACAGGCGGGTTGGGAGTAAAGAAGGGTGAAAGAAGTGAGAGGCGAAAAGGAAGGGATGCTCAGGAGGTGGAGAGGTGAGGGGGACCTCGGTGCCCCGTCCCAAATGGGAACCCAACCAAGGGAGGGTAGGGACAAATGAACCAGTGTCTAAAAAATGGTTGTGTGTCGTTGTTGGCAGCTCTGTGTGTTGTCGAGTGAGCGGAATCGACCCCTCCCTTGCCTTACTTCTCCCCCATCCTTGTCCTTCTTCCTCCATTCCACCGCCCTCCTTGCACGGCGCCAGGCGCGCGCTAGTCTTGTTGGAGTGGGGCGGCTAGGGAGCGGGTGGGACAGGGCTGGGGGCAGCTTGAAAAGAACAAGTCAGACACAACGAGCTGGCACCTTGTACCCCATGATAGAAACAGCAATCAATATCCCTGCTATCGGCTAAGAACGCGTCTGCATTCCGCCACCACCCGCCATTGGCATCCTCCGTTCCCTTCGGCCTCCTGCTTCCCCTAGACACGTTTCTAATCCCGAGGCCTGGTTGAATCTGGAAGGTCTCGTCCAATGGCTTATCGTAGCGAGCTGCAGCACCACAGGGTAGCAAGGGCGACCCTTCTTCCAAAGGGCAAGTGGACTCGTTCTTCGAAGAAGCGCCATCCAATCCTCCGCGTCACTGTCCTCCCCCTCTTCTCCCTCCTCGTCTCACTTCTCCTGCTCCTCTCTCTCTCTCCTCGCTCCTCCTCCTTCTCGGCTTCCTCCTCCGCGGCTCCTGGATGTTCTCCAGCCAGTAATACCACGTCTGGTGATGGAACTCAGGGATGATCTTCAGCTCGCCTTCCCTCACCGCCTTCACGCTCCTGTCCGCCAGCTCCTGGAGGCGAGAATCGGGAGGGAAGGAGGAGGAGGAGGAGGAGGAGAAGGAGGGCCGCTTCTGGCCGATGGCTTGGCAGGGCTGGCGCCTGGGAAGCAAGAAACCTTGATCGTACTGGATATTAGTGTTGCCACCACCGTGTGTTCAAGCATGGCGGGTCCAACATGGTCGACGCAGACCTTCCATTTCGTGTCTGGTCTGCCATGTGGATGGTTTTCGCTGAGGTGATGGACCGGGAACCCGGGAGCCCGGGAACCCAAAACCCACCGAACTCGGCCCGGAACCAATAACCGGAAACCCGGGAACCCGGAGCCAGGAACCAGGGAACCCAGCCTGCTACCAAAGTCGGCGGGAAACTTCCGCCAAATCCTTCAACTTCCACTCGGACCCCTTCAGTGCAAGCACTGATTCGGGAATACGTAAGCTCTGCGCTGGACACAACATAACTCTCAGGTGCGTTGATCAGGCGCGGCTGAGGAACTGTCGCCTCCAACCATATCACATCCGTCAGCGAAGGTTGCCACAGGGAGACAACACAGGCACAAACCAAATTATGATCCAATGAGACAGACCCAAGCATTGACCGCCGCCCCGACTTACGACTGAAACAACTGTGTTTACCCGCTGCGTTACACTAGTTGACCTCGCCTGTGCTTGGCCATTCGATGCGTCCATGTACAGCCGAGACTGCCATTGCTCGCGCCTGCGTGTCCTTGCACTTGCACGCGTACATATGTGAAAGATCATTGAACCAACACAGGAACATATCGGTAAGGAGAGAGGGATGGCGTGCGAGGATATGCTCGTAGATGCACGTGCGCGCGGCGCTTGCGCGCACCTGCTAAACATCGTCAAGACCCGCAACCAGATGTGCGTGCCTGCATGGGCGAAAACAAATGCACAGGCGCGCACATGCTGATACGGGCAAAGGTATAGCCGCGCGTCTTCTACCTATAAGCCTACATGTGTACCAGCTTCTGCGTCTGAGTGTATATGACAGCGTATACTTGCACTACGAATTCATCCTAGAAGTGATCTAGGGGCACATGTGTCGTCAGTTCTTCGACTTTCGCAGTGTGTCCCAACATCTGCGTGGGCCCCCGGGCCATCAAAGGCTACAAACATTCCGTGGGGCACCTGCAAGCCTGCTCAGCCCGAACATTCGAGAAGCACTGCCCTAATGCTCGGAGACCTGGCTTGTGACATGCCCAACCCCCTCCCGCAACATCGTGGCGTCTTCCCAGTATCCTCATCCTGGCTGCCTGGTGCCACTTCGAGCAACGTCCCGAGCATCCAGCACGAGTTCCAACAGGTCCCCGGAACGCACACTTGGCGGAAGCCTCCGTTCCCCCTACATGTTTTCCTGCTCAATGCCTTCCCGGGGACACCTTCCCTAGTGAACCCCCTTGGGGCAAATGGCCCCTCGCTCCTCCTCCTCCTCCTCCTCCATTGAGGCGGCGCGGCGCTCCTTGCAGTTCATCCACCACTGCGGCTTCAGGAAGGGCTCGATGATGTCCTTCGAGCGGGAGCAGAAGCCGAGGCGCATGGCGTGGGACTTCTTGCCGACCCACAGGCCCTGCGGCAGGTGCGGCTGGAGGATGAGGGCCAGGCGGAGGTAGGGGAGGAGGATGGTGGGATGGGGGCAGGGAGGAGGAGGAGGAGGCGGAAGGAGGAGACAGAGGACCAGTGCAAGCCCAAGACTCATCAACGATGGAATTAACCCTGCCTGCAAGCTCCGCCTTCATAGGCCCCACAAAATATTCGCTTCCACCGAGGGGACTGCCACGTTGGGAGACAACCCTTTCAAAGACCGCGAAGCGTGCCACGAATCAACCTGACTGTTGCGTCTTGACGGTCATGATTCGCACTAGAACACCAGTCTTGGGACTTCAAAACCGCGAATCCAAATAATTGCGGCACCCTGGCAATCCAGAACCGTTCCGAGACGCAATGCGTGGTACGCTGACCGTGGGAGCCAATCGAACTCCTGTAATTATGTTAGACGAGCGTGCGCCGCGCTAAGGGGAAAACCACGTGTTGAAACAAACGCCCTCAATCCGTGCAACTCTTGCATGTTTAGAGCGAGTGTGCGCGGCGCTAAGGCGAGAACGGCATGTTGAAAACCACTCGCCCTAAACCCATGAAGCTCTTGGACATGTTTAAACGAATGTGCGCGGCGCGAAAACGAGAACGAAATGTTGAAAACCAGCCGCCCCCAACACGTGAAGCTCTTACAACTGTTTGAAACGAATGTGCGCGGTGCTTAGGAGAGAACCACATTTTGAAAACGGTCCGCCTTCAATCTGTGAAACCCTTGCACATGTGTGAAGCGACAGTGCGTGGCGCTAAGGCGAGAGCCACATTTTGAAAACCAGCCGTCCTCCATATGTGAAGCTCTTGCCAACTTTCAAGCTTCAGGGTCATACATGGTGAGGAAGCCTCCGGCGAAACGCCCGGCCCGCCCGTTCGACTGGCCTCGGGGTGCGACAGAGAGGAGTTATGTATAAGGAACAGGAATGGAGCAGGAGGAGGGAAGCAAGGACGAGGAGGATGAGGAGGTAGACATGGAGAAGAACAGCAGACCTCCCAAACATTGACCATCGACAGAGAGAGGGACTGACACACCTCAGCTGAACGAGCGTACCAAGTTTGCCCTCCTCTTCCTCCCCACCACCCCGAGCTTGTCCAACACTCGACACTGTTCGTTCGCCACGCGCGGGGGGGAATGCCGCACGCGAGGCACCATGCGCAGGGGGACAAGAGGCGATGCTGGGAGCGAGAAGCATGACGATGCGAAACAGAAGGCGAAGGGGGGAGAAGAGGACAGGGACAACATCGGAGACCAAAAGGGAGTTAACAAAGGGGGCTCTATGGAATTAGCTGCATCGAACTGATTCTTGTCGGGCGCTTCGAGGCGCCTGGAAAATCCGTGCGTCGAGCACCGCAGTAGGGGGTGCAGCCGAACAGCAGCTTTCGAAATCTACGCTCGCCCCGGACCTCCCTCTCCTCCCCGCCTCCCTGGGGGTGGGGGGACAGGGAAGAGCTAGAGGATCATAGCAGGAGGAGGGGCTAGATGGGGCAAAGCGGCGGCGGAGAGTGCGCGCGGTGGCGTTGGCTACAGGTTGGCGATCGGCACGCCTGGAGAGGCTGAGCGGCTGTCGATAGCCAGTGAGGATCAGAGTAAGGCCGTTTCAAGGTGTTGTTGCGTGCATGGCTGCGGCCACATACGCCAAGGAGGCACAGCGCAGGGGCATCTCCCTCCCCCCCCCCGGGAAACCCAAACAGGTGGCACACAGTTCGAGAAATGGTGCCCTCGTCCGCCGAGGCAGGCCAAGGGACCAGAGGCCGAACTGCGGCTGTTCAGGGCTTCCCACCGGGTGATGGGGAGTTTGCGCCATCCTGTGGCGGCGGCCGCATGTTGTTTGTTTCCCCCCCCCCCACACACCCCGATGGGCCCCCACTCTCGAAGGGCTGTGCAAGAGCTGGCCGTACAAGAATTGGCGGGGTGGCAGCAGGAGGCTGCACAGAGATGCGGGGGTTGGAGGCCGCGGTCACCCTGGTCAATGCCAGCGTGGCCAGCGGTAGGTGAGTGGTCAATCTCCTCCTCCACCAAATCTGCGACGTCCCCCTCCCTCGTTGGCGAGGTGGCGGCTAGCGGCGAGACCCGATGCTGTGGCGGGCGGGGGACGGCTGAGACAAGTGGCGGCGCAGCGAAGATTCACTTAGCAGAGGAAGGCGTAAGTGACTGCTGGCAGTTGGCTGTGCAGAAGTAGGGCGGTTGGAGGGCCTTGATGCTGTCCCCAGACCTTGGCCAGCGCCGAGGCGGCTGGCGGCAGCATGGTGGTCAATTGCGTTGCACGGGCAACGTTGCTGGCCGCGGCCGCCCTGGCCAACGCCAAAACGGCCAACGGCATACGCATCCCCCCCTGCCCCCCGATCCTAAACCCACCCGTGCCGCCCCAAAAGAGTGGTTAGAGTGAAGGTTTAAAGGGGGAAATGAACGGACATGTGCAAAGAGTGAGCGGCCAGGAGGGAGTGGAAGGTTGGGCAAGAGCTCTCAATGGGAAGACTGATGGTTGGTCCTTCGTGTCGGGTGCCTCCGAAGCCCCACAAGCGGTGGTATCAAGATAACCCCAAGGAAGTTCTCCTCTTTTTTTCCGTATCCTCGTCCTCGTCCTCCTCCTCCTCCTCCTCATCTTGATCAGCATCCTTAGCTGCTGCGTTTCCTATCGTGCATTTGTCGCCCCGCGCGGCCGCCGGCGCAGAGGGCCCCGCGGCTTCCTTGAGGGCGGGCGCGGGGGATGCGCCATCAAACTTGCGAGCGACTTCCCCCCGCGGCCAGCGAATGGCGCGATATCTGCCGCGACTTTGGCAGAATGGCTGCCGTCTCCTCTGAGGATTGCAATCCTGCTCCATATTCGTTGAGCTCTCCTGCAGTGCGCCGCCAGCAACGGGCCATCTGGTTCCACGTCTTCACCACTCACTCCTCTGTGCTGCGCGTAGTCAGCGGAGACAACTCATGCTTCGTCTGGCTTAGACTTGCCCCTGCGAGTGCGAGCCCATCTCCTTGGCTTTGCCACGCGTTCAGCGACAACGTCGGACGCAGACGACAGACGCAGCGATCTTCCGCGCGTGCCTTGCTGACTACCTACCAGACCACCCCAACCCAACCCGAAGACCCGAATTTGACCCGAATTTCGGGTTGGGGGGGGTACGGATACCACGTGTTTTCTCAACGTTCCGCGACCCCCCCACACTGGAAATCGAGGATAAATTGAGGCCTTCGGGTTGGGTTGGAGTGGTTTGGTGGGTGGTGACTTGCTGGGGCGAGGGCCACGCGCCACTTCCACACCTTCCTCCGGTTCCTCACTTGCGCATGCATCCTCGCCTTCGCTCATGCCGCTCCCGCAGGCGCTCTCGCCCTCTCGCCCTCTCGTCGATCCTCGCCTTCCAGCACTTCTGCTGTCGATGTCGAGTTGGCCCACTGGAGCTTCAAGGGCCTCGTGGAATAAGCTTCCCGAAAAAGCCCCTGCCTCGGAAACTCCTGCTTGCCGCCTGCCTCGCCCACCTGCAACGCCGGCTTCCCGTCCTGTCCTCAAGGTGCTCGATGGGTGATTTGGGTTCCCTTGCGCGCTTGGGTTGCCGTCCTCCTGTCCGGGGCCTTCTGCCCCAGGTGACCGCGCGACCTGCCATGCGCGTCTTGCCCGTGACGATCCCGTTGCCAACTCCCGCCCCTCCACGCGCCGATCCCAGCGCTTTCTCGACGTCGGCACTTGCGTGGGCCTCGCAAACTTGTCGCCTGCTTCAACTTGTCCTGCGACTACAGTCGGGGCGTTGACCTAAGGAACCCTAAATCCGCCGACCCTGTCGGCGTGTGGAAAAGGCTTCGTTGTTTGCTGCTTCTTCCTCGTCGTTCCTTTGTCCCGTTTCCCTGCAGCGTCGTCGTTTTTTGCCCTTTCCTTTTCCTCGTCGTCTCTGAATCAAAGGGAAGCCCCTTCCCTTTCTTCCCTTCCCCGCGCGAGGAAGGGGGTGGTCCCGTTCCTTTTCCTCGTCGTCTCTGAATCAAAGGGAAGCCCCCCCCCTTTCTTCCCTTCCCCGCGCGGGGGGGGTGTCCCGGGGGGGGGTAGCGAGGGGGGTCCTGGGTCAGATACGCCGCCCTCCTGGGGATCCTCGGTCAGAGGGAACACCCTTCCCTTTCTTTCCTTCCCCGCGCGGGGGGGGGGGTCCCGGAGGGTAGCGAGGGGGGGTAGCGAGGGGGGTTAGCGAGGGGTGTCCTGGGTCAGATACGCCGCCCTCCTGGGGCTTCTCGGTCAGATACATCGCCCTCCCGGACTCGCAATGTCGCCTCTGAATCAAAGGCAAGCCCCTTCCCTTTCTTCCCTTCCCCGCGCGAGGGCAGGGGGGGTCCCGGGAGGGGGTAGCGAGGCGGGGTAGCGAGGAGGGTAGCGAGGGACAGAGGCACCTGAGATGCCCATCAGACGTTCCAAGAGGCATCTCAAATGAACACGCCACTCTCGTGTTAAATTCTGTCCTTCGGGTCTTTGTGCCGACGACGACGACGACGACGAGGACGACGACGACGACGCGTGCGACGTCGACGACGACGACGACGCCGACACGAGGACAGAATTTAAAACGCCACTCTCGTGTTAAGTTCTGTCTTTGGGGCCCTAGTGCCGACGCGACGACAAGGACGACGACGACGACGACGAGTGCGACGTCCACGACGTCGACGTCGACGACGACGACGACGACAACGACGACTCGAGGACAGAATTTAACACGCCACTCTCGTGTTAAATTCTGTCCTTCTGGTCTTTGTGCCGACGACGACGACAAAGATGACGACGAGGGCGACGACGAAGCGTGCGACGTCGACGACGACGACGACGACGACGACGACGACCACGGACGACGAAACGAAATTAACACGCCACTCTCGTGTTAAATTCTGTCCTTCGGGTCCTTGTGCCGACGACAACGACAAGGACGACGCGTCGTCGTCGCGACGACGGGTGCGACGACGACGACAACGACGAGGACGACGGACGACGACGACGACGACGACGACAGGAGGACAGAATTTAACACGCCACTCTCGTGTTATATTCTGTTCTCGGGGTCCTTGTGCCGACAACGCGGACGACGACGACAACATGAGGACAGAATTTAACACGCCACTCTCGTGTTAAATTCTATCCTGGGGGTCCTCGTGCCGACGCCGACGACGACGACGACGACGCCGACACGAGGACAGAATTTAACACGCCACTCTCGTGTTAAATTCTGTGCTGGAGGCCCCGGTGCCGACGGCAACGACAAGGACGACGACAACGACGACGGGTGCGACGTCGACGACGTCGACGTCGACGACGACGACGGACGACGACACGAGGACAGGATTTAACACGCCACTCTCGTGTTAATTCTGTCCTTGGGGGCCTTGTGCCGACGACGACGACGATAACGGCAAGGGCGACGACGAAGAGTGCGACGTCGACGTCGACGACGACGACGGACGACGACACGAGGACAGGATTTAACACGCCACTCTCGTGTTAAATTCTGTCCTTGGGCTCCTTGTGCCGACGCCAAAGCCAAGGACGACGACGACGGGTGCGACGACGACGACGACGTCGACGACGACGGACGACGACAACGACGACACAAGGACAGAATGTAACACGCCACTCTCGTGTGAAATCCTGTCCTTGGGGTCCTTGTGCCGACGACAACAACGACGGCGACGACGGGCGCGAAGGCGACGACGGACAACGACGCCGACACGAAGACAGGATTCAACACGCCACTCTCGTGTCAAATTCTGTCCTTGGGATGCTCGTGCCGACGACGACGCCTAGGACGACGACGACGACGAGTGCGACAACGACGACGACGACGGCAACGACGGACGACGACGACAACGACGACGACGACGACGCCGTCGCACCCCCTGCGACCCCAGGCACTCACAAATGTCATGAACTGTCTGCCCCCAGTGTTGTAGTCCCCTGAAACGAGAGCTGCTCCCGAAAACCTCCTCCCGCATCATCCGTGCCTGTTTCTTCACCCCTCTCTGACAGCTTTCACTGGTCCTCCCCCACGTGTTCGTCGTCCCTGCCTGCTCCATCCATTAACTCCTGCTCCCCCTTCTCTACCTTTTCCATTTCTCCTCCGCATCTTCATGCTCCTCTTGCTCCTCCTCCCACCTGTTCCTCCTCCTTCACTCCTCCGTCTCCTCCTCCCCGCCCTCTCCCCCCCGTTTCCCTCGAGAGCCGATGCCTCCAGGGTCGGCGGCACAGGCCGTAAGGCCAGCGCAATAAGGAACGAGGCCCTTTTTTTCCAAAGTTAAACTTCGATTTCCTATCGAAAACATGAGGAAAACCTGAGGCAAGCTGTGAAACACTTAAGGAACGCGGAGCCCCTCCCCAACGAAAAGGGTTCCTTCTTCAAGGGCCCGACTGTATTCCGCGCCTATGACTATCTATTGCAGCCCAAGTGGGGGCAATGTAGCGGGGCAATGTTTCGATGCCTCTGTCCGTTTTGCTGGAAAACGCATGCCGACACTTAGCGGTAAAATCGTGCTTGGCGCCCCAGAGTCAGCAGTCACTTCCGCCGCCCCCCGCGTGAGATTCCGAGCAATCTATAGGCGCTGCGTTCACTCCGTCTGCGTTTCGCGGGCTACCTCAACAAATCCAAAGCCACCTGCACATTCACTTGTTTGCACCTAAGTGCCTCGCAGAGACCAGATCTCCGGCCCCTCACTTCGCGGCGCGTCATGCGCTGCTCCCTTTCGCGGGCTAGTTTTTCCTTTACTCAGCTTGGGGCTTCATACAGCGTTTCAAGTGGGTCGGCGCGATCCCAAGCAACGGCGTAACATCCAAGATCCATTTCAGGCCGCGGCTGCCCAAAGATATCCATGCCCTGCTCATTGCTCGCTTGCCTCACTTTTGTGGCTCCCTCGGTGCAGTCGGCCGCTGCGCGGCCATTTTGGCGGCGCTTGTAGCGTTCGCGCCCGCCCATGAGAACGTGACCCTTGCCGCCAGCTCTGCCAATTCGATTGCCCCGATGCTTGCCAGCTTCCATGCACTTGCCGTCGTCGCCCTTGATAGATCCCTGCTGCCAGCCCGGGTGCCCTTTGCCTGTGCTGATGTCCTTGCTTTCGCCTGTGGATCTGCAGGCTCTGGCCATGCGACCCATCTTTAGCACCCATAGCATGCAACTGTTCCTCTGCCTCTGCCTTTTTTCGCCTGTATCAGCATCTCCGTTACCCCAACTTCGGTCACCGTTCCAGCCTGAGTTGCTCTCTTCATGCGTGGGCCACAAATTACCTACTCCATCGTAATCCCCGTGGTAACTCCCAGGGCAAACTCTTGTTTTTTTATGGCGCTCCTCCTCTTTGTTGGCTCCCCCGATGTCCATGGCATCGCTGTTCTTCGTGTCAACTCACAATCGCTATTTCCGCACCAGTCCTCGCACTGTACGCGCAGCCTCTGGCATGACTCCTTGGAGAGAAGGTCGGGCGACTCGAACCAGTCCCGCCGCCAATCATAGAACCACCCACAAGCACGGCTCACTACGAGCTTGGGCGTAATTCTTTTGCAGGACAGGGACAACTCATGAGGTCAAAGATATTTCTCGAACTTCTCAGCTGGGGCGCCCCGCTGCACGAGTGGAACCGACCACCGGCGCATGACGGATTGCTTTGGATCTGCCCAGGCTGGTTGCTGTGACCACATTGGCCGATTGTACAGGCTGCTCCCGCTGCTGCACTGCACCGTGTGTAGAGCCTCGCGTGTGCTATCAGCCCTTCACCTTCCCTGAAGCCGCGCAGCCTTGCCCCGTGCCCCGACTTGGCATAGTTGTTTGGGCTAGGGCGCGCCACAGGTCCTCATCCAACGTGTGAGTGTGATCCTTATCTGGACCGTATTCATCATTATATTCATCCTCGTTCCTGTTCTTCTCTGTCGTCGCCCTGTTATCCTCCAGTGCCGCAATTGTTCACAGACCATACATCTGTTGTCACTTGTTCGCATGTCCCTGATACAATTCCGCAAGTTGTTCCCAGCTTTGCGTTTCGAGATTTGAAAGCCTGGCGATTCCCATTGTTGACCTGTACCAGGACAAGTTCGGCCACTCCATTCAAATGTCATCCGTTCTCTGCTGAAGCTCTTCAGTGATTGCACGCTTTTGATTCGCTCGTGTTTCTTCAATTGGACCCTTTTTGTCCGATCTCTGGGCGAGGCTCGTTTTGGTGTTCATACGATCTTCGGTCATTTTTGCAAGTCGGTCAGTCGCGCGCTCTCTTACGTAGTTTCCACCCTGTGCTTGGTTCCACGACTAACGATGCTCAGTGATGCCGCGCTCGGTTTCCCAAACATCCCCATTACTGACATCGCGTGCTCGCTGGACAAATGTTGGTTGCCCGAACGGTTTGGTTTTTTGCCAGGTAACTCGTCATCGCGCCGTGGTTCGAATTCAAGCCAGCTTTGGCGAAATCACAAAACACATTGGGAGCAAACGGTGAGAGAGCTACTTCCCAAATTGGCAAGATTCCACTCTGTACTACTGTCGCGTGGTAGGTATTGCACACCAGCCCCCGCTGCCATTTTACGGAACGCTGGTATCAAAGTTTGAGCTCTGTTTTGCAGTAGGCGGCCGACGGCAACGCACAAAGCTATGCCACACCGCCGGACGGCGGCTACAACCACTTGAGCCAAATGCCACGGGCTTCACAACTACCTGACGGGCAACATTGAAGCAAAACCGTTTCCTCATCCTTCCTTTTCCTCCTGGGAGGGGGAGGAGGAACACACACGGGACCACAAGGGGGGCTCCTGGGACGGGGGGGAGAAACACACACGGGACCACAAGGGGGGGGCAGCATTGAAGCAAAACCGTTTCCTTGTCCTTTCTGTTTCCTCCTGGGAGGGGGGGGAGGAACACGCACGGGACCACAAGTGGGGGCTCCTGGGAGGGGGGGGAGGAACACACACGGGACCACAAGGGGTGGGGCAGCATTGAGGCAAAACCGTACACACACAGGATCACAAGGGGTGGGTGGGGGGGCGTGAGCACCTGGCGCCAGCCGAAGGGGGCGGACGAGGACGCCGCCCCTCCAGGTGCCCCCCCCTCTGCAGGGCGCGGGGCGCCTGCGCGCTGGGCGCGCGCACGGCCAGAAAGCTTGTGCTTGGACGGAGGAGGAGGAGGAGGAGGAGAAGGAGGAGGAGGAGGAGAAGGACCAGAGTAAACCCTGGCGAGGACGAGCAGGAGGAGGAGGAGGAGGAGGAGGAGGATCACAGCAAACCCTGGCGAGGACGAACAGGAGGAGGACCCGAGTAAGCCCAGGATCCAGCGGAGGAAGCGCACGACCGCATGAGCGTGGTGCTCCCACCAGGCATCGCAGAACAGCAGGGGCCGAGCGGCGGACTCCCGGCTACGGTGGGCCTCTCGGCCGCGCATCGCCTCTCCGACCCGGCCCTCAGCGGCGGCCGCACCGGAGGACCCACGAGTGAAGGGGGCCGAGGGACACACGAATGAATACACACACTGACACAATTAATCGTCGACTCCCCGGACAATGTGAGAAAACGTTGGGGCGGTGGGGGGGGAAGACGAAGATCCAAAGTATGAAAAAACGCATAGGGGAATCCTGGGATCTGTGTGTATTCATTTGTTAGGGGAACGAACAATGACATAAACATAAAAACTCGGAGGTCCGCGCGGATTTCTCGGCTCGGCGCTGGACTCCCCTGGCGGAGCCTCCGGCGCCGCCGCGGAGCGCGCCAGGGAGGGGGGTCCAGCGCCGATTCGAGAAATCCGCGCGGACCTCCGAGTTTTTATTTTCATGTCAGGTTTCGTTCCCCTAACAAATGAATACACACAGATCCCAGGGTTCCCCATGCTTTTCCATACTTTGGATCTTCGTCTTCCCCCCCACCGCCCCAGGTTTTCTCACATTGTCCGGGGAGTCGACGATTGATTGTGTCAGTGTTTTTTCTCCCCTCCTGAATGAAACCGAAGCGTTCCTTATCCCAACGTCTTGGCTGCTAATTCTCGGAGGCTCGCGCGGACTTTTGTGATCGACGCTAGCCCTCTCTCTTTGGCACGTGGAGCGCGCCAGGGGCAGCGCTGGATGCGCCGCCGGGAGGTCCAACGCCGACCCAAGAAAACCGCGCGGACCTCTGAACATTTATACTTCTGCCCTGTGTCCATCCTCGGCTGCCATTCGAAAACGAATAGAATACTTGCAGCCGTCCCGAGATGCCCGAAGACTGCTGTGGGTGCCCGGGGCCTCTGCGTGATGGGAGACGTCCGACGGGGCACCTCGCTTGACGTGCGCAGCGCACCCCGTGATGGCCGCCGGCAGCGCAACAAATATATGCTTCACCGCGCCAAGACTTGAACAGGGACCGACCGTCCCGGCATTCCTATAGCCCTACCACGGAATGTTCTTAGATGTTCTAAGAACAAAAGCAATGTTCTCATAACATAAGCACGATGTGTTAAAACAAGACAGTCCCAGCCAAACGTGTTCTGAGAACAGTTCGTGGGAGCCACAAGAGGTTCTCAGAACATTGTTTGGTAGGGCTATAGGCGAGCCAGGACGCTCCGCCACTGCTTGTGAGACCTCCCACCCGGTGGCTTCCTCAACAGTGCCGGCGTGCGCCCCCCCTGGTCTCGGCACCCCAGAGGTCGTTTCTGGGCACGGCCAGCCCCGCCCCGAGAAGATCTGGCCAGAGCGCACCCTGGGGAAGGTCAGGGGGTCGTCGTCTTCGTCGTCGTCGTCGTGGTCAATTCCGTCGTCGTCGTCGTCGCCGTCGGCGTCGGCGTCGGCGCTGGCATCGGCGGCGTCGGCGTTGGCGGCGGCGTCGGCGTCGGTCTGCGTCGGAGTCGCCGTCGTCGCCGTCGTCAACGTCGTCGTCGTATGTCTATGTTGTATGTCGTATGTCGTATGTCGTATGTCGTCGTCGTGGTCGGTCAGTCGTCGGCGTCACCCGGCGTCGCTGCTGCTCTCGGCTACACGCAAGAGTGACCCTGGGTAAGAGTGACCTTTGGTGCGCGGCTTTCTGGGGGCCGCGGGGGGACCAAACCTGGGCGCGCAAGCCGCTGCTCCTGCCTCGTTTTCAGCCGCCTGGGGACCCATCTGTGCCCGCACCACAGGTCGGTCCGGCGAAAGGTCACTCTTACCCTGAGATCCGACGTAGCGAAAAAATTGCAACATCGTGAAAATCCGCGCCCGGAGCCCTGGACCCCATCTTCCTGCGTCATGTTTCGAGCCGGATCGATCTGCGAGGGTCCCTGGGCCCGAGAAGAGGCGAAAACGCCCGGCTCGGAGAAAGTGAGTCGCCAGGATCTCAGGGCACGTCCAGTCGATGCTCGTCGCTCTCCACTCGTCGCCGCCACCGCCCCGGAGCCTTCTCCTTCAGGGCCTCCTCGACCGTGGCTCGCGCCTGCAGAGAAGCGCGCGGCCGCGGGGGAGCCCCTCCTCCCCCGCGGGGGCTCCGACGCCCCGCCCCTGGGAGCACAAGGGGGCTGGTCTTCAGTCGGGCCTGCCCCCCTGCAGGGGGGAAATTCAACAATGGTCAAAAAATAATATGGTGACTATGTCTTGACCATGTTTGAACATTTATACTGCATTATAGGTTTTTTTTTGCAATTTGTCGTTCGAAATCGGCCTGTAGGGGGACAGGCCCGACCTAAGGCTGGTCGGGCGCAGGTGGATTCGGATCGGGGAAGGTACCCCCCAAAAGGAGGCCAGTGACAGTGCCGCCTCATTTGGCGACGAGGCGCGTAAATGTCTCATGCAAACGGGACCCGTCGCTGATCCACATGCTTCCTGAGAATGTTCTCAGGGTGGAGGGTTCAGGGTGAAATATACATAGGCTTTCGCACCTCGAAAATCAATCCGTCTCGTGATTCACATCTGCAGATTCAGGCCTCGAAAGCCAATTGAAATGGCATTTCAGATTTCACCCTCTGCCCTCCACCCACAGAAAATGCTCTGATGTTTGCGGCTCCTCCAATTGATGGGGCCTCTGAGTGCCTTGGGCGGGCCGCCGTGGCCGCCTGGGCGGCCAACACCTGACGTCTCGCCGTGGAACAAGAAAAATCAGGGCGGGATGCTCCACGGCCGCCCTCGGCCCCGCCTCTCCCTCCTCCCTCCCTCATCCTCCCTCCTCCCCCCTCCTCCTCCTCCCTCCCCCTCTCCTCCCCCTCCCTCCTCCTCCCTCCTCCTCCCTCCGCCTCCCTCCTCTCTCCCGCCTCCTTGCCGCCTCCCTCCTCCTCTCTCCTCCCTCCTCCCCCCCCTCACAATGCCCAAAGGCCGCCGACAAGACGGCTCCGAGTGAACTGTCGACCGTCGAGGAACGGGTTCACACCTACAGGAGCCCACGCTGCGAAAACATTGCGGCGTCGGAGATCTGTCGAGCGGGGGGAGGGCGTAGGTCGGCGGCGGCGGCCAGTGTCGGTGGCGGCCAGTGTCGGTGGCGGCGAGCAGCGGCGACGGCCAGCGGCAGCAGCGGCAATCCATCGGGGCTGTCTGGACGCATACCGTGGCCGCCTGGACGAGGTCTGGGGTCGACCGGAGCGGGCGCAGCGCAGTGCAGCACGCAGGCGTCCACCCAGCGACCCAAGCGTCGAATCTTGCGTCTGCTTGCCAACTTGCACTGGCTGTCGAATCCGTTGCAAGCCCCTCCTGGCAAGACTGACCGGGCCCGGAAACGCCGCGCGAACGTACAGGGCCGTCCAGGGGCGGTCGGGGAGGCTCTAGGCGTGGCCCGGCGGGGGCCCCAAAAGTGGCCCTGGGGTTCCCAGGGCCAGGCTTCGCATAGACAAGGTGCGATGTACATCAATACCGAGATGCTGGAACACACATGGCTGGATTCACATGTGGAACGTTTGGAGGGCGAATGTGGGGGTCGGGCGCAGGGTCCCGGCAATGGTGTCTTTATGGGACATGCATGGGCGATGCATCCTCGATTGCTGTGTTCGGCGGGGGAACCAATGAAGCTCCCCGCCTGCACCCATGCGCGAGACTTGAGGGTCAACGCAGCAAGGGGGCGGGGGGCTCGGGATGGGGGCCTTCACGTCCACCCATGCAGGAGTTCGGGGGGAGGCTCGTGCATGCCGCGCCCGAGCACCCGGATAGGCTTTCCGGTCGGCTCTTCCATCTTGATCGGATCGGGACGGCGGCCGGCGATCGCCGTTGATCATGATCCTCGACCCCTGGCAGGTTATTGGTGGTCCGTTGGGGAGGCAAGGGATCATGAGCACATGGTTGATTGTCCGCCCGCCCGCAGGCGTTTACAGCCGGTTCGATCCCATCCCGCCCACCCTGGGGCTGAAGAAGAGGGGGGATCCCTGGGCCGAAGGCCCCTCGCGTCCTCTTGGCGCAGGGGTTGCCGGTCCAGGGTGCAAGAACAAGTTTGGATAAACGAAAGCGGTGAGGTGAGTGTCAAAATCTGCCCAGCCACTGTGACATGCGGAACACTGCGCTTCAGTTTTGGCGATTTTGAATGCCAGGGCAAAATTTGAATTCATATTTTGGGGGAAGCAGAATGTGAACTCACATGTTGGGAATAAGGAACATGTGAATTCACTTTTTGGAAAAGAAAGGAACATGTGAATTCACATGTTGGAGTTTTGTGTAGGAATGTTTGTGACGGGGCCAAAATGTGAATTCACATGTTGGGAGAAGGAAAATGTGAATTCACATTTTGGAGAAAAGGAAAATGTGAATTTGCATTTTGGAAGAATCGCGGGGCCTATTCCAAATCTGTCTTGGGGGTCGGCAAGTCATCGTCTGGGAACGTACACGATCATCAATCGCACAAACAAGACACACTTGCACGCCACTTCGCCGCCCCACGCGCATTATGCAAGAACGCCCGCACGCATGAACGAATGGACGGCACGTTTGCCCACGCGGGCAACGCACGGGCACGAACGACTGGCCCTCCATGACCACCAACATTGGATGCCAATCATACCCGATCACATACATGAGTGATACATTAAGCACACGTGGGCCATTCAGCCCCCATGGAAGACCCCCTGTTGCAGACCCCCTCTTTCACCCTCCAAAACATCCGGGGGTGAGGCGCTGGGCACAGTCGCGAAAACCCGGCGTGTCTGGTCGCAGAAGGGGCCGAGCGCCGGACAGGCATGCGGCCACACGTGCATCCAACTCTCACGGGGGTCGGTTACCTCGTGTGTATACGGTTCCAGTCGGACTCGATTGGACAGGACACGCGAGAGGACACAAGACCCTTCCGAGGGCCACATTGCCACAGACATGTAGGAAGCATGGGTCGCGAGACAAAGGACACAAGGGTACCCTTGATTTTTTTCCAGCGCGACGCAAACCCCGCTCAGATGATGAATCCTCTGGCCAGCCTGCGTCAGATCACAAAGGGCAGTGCTCCCGAACGACGCTGAGCCAGGAAAGCTGGAACGCCAACTGAAGCGAACCGCAAAACTCGATTTCTGGCACCTTGATTACCCAGGGCACCCTGGACTAGGCAGGGCCGACCTACCAACCTGGGCCGACTGCACCTGGCACCGTGTTCTTGCCATGCGTTCGACGGCCCGCGGCGGAAAACGACGCCACCCCGCCGACGCCCGTGTGCCACACGGCTGCACCCGGGCACTGAACTTGTTGAAGGGGCCCCAGGACACAAATAAATACACACAAATAAAAAGATTCCCCATATTTTCCTATATTTTCTGGGTTTATGTATTCCCCCCAACTTCCCATATTTTCCCATGTTTTCTGAGGAATCGGCGATTAATTGTGTCTGTGTGTTTCTTTTCCTCTTGACTTGTGCCTTCTCCACGGCGGACGTAACATGTTCAACAACTGTTAGCCATCATGGACCCCACACAGTGTGCCACTGCACTGCAGGGGCGTCAGACATGCGGTAGAGGCTCTGAGCCACCCTGTGTTGTGATTTGTGGAGTGTGAGCTATGACGTATGAGCTGTGGAGGTAAAAGTTACGAGGTGCACGAGATCTGGTGCCAGCTCTGTCGTGAAAGCTCGGGGCTATGAGCTGGAGGTGCAATGTCGGGGGAGGCGGAGATTCCTTGGCGACCTCTGCCGTGAAGCCACGGGCGCCATGGCCGCCAGACGCGGCCGCCGTTTCGGCACGACCGCCGCCGCGCTCCGCGGCATGGCTGAGCTGCACTTGGGTACGTAACCAGCATCGAACGTATCCCTATCCCTAAGATGGGCGAGCAAAAAGCGAGGACCATCTTAGGGACAGGCCCTCAGAAACTGGGGGAATCCTCAAGATCGGCATCGAGGTAAGATGATATCAAACCTAGGGATAGGGATATGTTTCAAACTGGTAAGCACGGATATCGAGGCCTGGCTTGGCGTCCAGCCGCCCGCGCCCTCCCTGACACGCGAGCGGTGCTGCTGGAGGCCTGGGGGCGGTCGGAGGCCGCACTGGCAAGAGGACCTCGAGCACCGGCTGTGCGCTTGCCGGTGTCGGGCCGGGCGAAAGGGGGGGATAGCGAAGGGGGGGTTTGAGAATCAGCTCACGTAGCTGATGTTCCCGGCGCCGGAGGCGGCTATGTATCGAGGAATGGGCCCCTCGGTGGGGCCGAAACCAGCTGCATGCAGCAAATTTCGTAACCCCCCCTTTCCCAATCCCCTCCTTTCGTTCGGCCCGACTGTGCTGGCAGACCACCCGCGCCGCGGCGTTCGCGGCAAGCGCCTTCACCCCGGCGGCCGCCCGCGCGTGTCTCCCTGTCGAGGTCGCGCGCAAGGCGGTGCTGCCCCCTGACGCCCACCTGGTGGCCCTGGCGAACGACGCGCAGTAGGCGCTTCAGCTGCCGCCGCTGTCGGGCCCCGCCGCCCCCGAAGTGGCACCGGGGGAGGGTCCGCGCCTGGACCGACGGCCACGGGAGCCCACGGCAGACCCACCAGCCCTGGGCGACTGCAGGCAGCACGGACCCCGCGCCGGCCCACGACGGCGACGGCGACGGCGACGGCGACGACGACGACGACGGCTCGCGATTGTACCCTGCCGACCGGATGCGCACCTGGGCGGAGCGGGGCTTACGTCTCGAGGTCCTCCCAGGCGGGGCGCCTCGACAGCCACGGCCCTGTGGATGGCCGTCAGACGGCGCAGCGCGCGGAGCCTTGGGCCGCCGTGCACGCGTGCAGCCTACCCTACCTCGGGGGGCGGTGGAGGTTTGTCACAGACTCGTGCGACGTTGCATGGCGGCGCGAACCCGATGAATTGGCAGCGTGCTGACCTGTGGGAGGCGATCGCGCCGCACTGCCGCACCAGGCTGCTGCGGGCCCGGTGGGTGAAAGCCCAAGTTGATCCGAGCGGAATCTGCCGATCGGGGCTTCTCAGAAGCGAACTGGACTGGGAACGCCGCGGCGGACCAGCTCGCCGATGCTGGAGCGGTCCAGCGCGCGGCGGCCGCCGTGGAGCTTGCCGCCCTGAACGCCAACAACGACAGCGCCGGCCCAGGCGGGTTCAGGGTGCGGCGACGCTGGGCTGTTCACGGGCACCGCTACAGGCGGGCGCCGAAGGAGGGAGGCGCTGCGGAGGTCGCCGCCGCTGCGGCGCCGCCACCACGGGCGCGGCCTGGGCAGCCTGCGGGCGTCGCGCCTCCCGCGCGCACCCGCGCCGAGGAGGCGGCCGCGGCGAGGGCGCTGCTCGCGGGCAGAACGTGGCAACCGCACGCGGCGGCGCGGGGCCCCGCGCGGGTGCCGTGCTTGCGGTGCGGCTGCTGGGCGCCGTGCTGGCCGCGGCTCGCGCATCGGCTGCGTGGCGGCTGGTCCCCGGACTGGCCGCCGCGGGCGGCCGTGCCGCGAGATGCCGCTCGCGGGGTGCAACGGGGCGGCCGCGAGGCAGAGCGGCGGGCGCCCTGCGCGCTGACCTGCAGGCGCTGGGCGCCCGTGGTCGAGCCGGGAAGCTCGCCGAGGAGCCGCTGCGGGGCGGGCGGCGCGGCCGGTGTACCTTCCCCGTTGCCCCCCGACCCCTGTCACCCTCGTCGTTGTCGTCGGTCGTTTCCTCACATTGCCGCTGGGCTCCTCTGCGGTGTGAGGAGTGCCGGGCCCGCGCGAGTGGTGATCCTGCGGCGGGGACCTCAGAAGCACTGCGCGTCACCACCGCCAGCGCCAGCCCGGAGCGTGTGTCACCGAAGTTCGCTGCTGCCCGACGCTCCGTGTCCCACGCAGACGCTGAAAGAACACATGTCGCCGATATGGCGTTCGTTTAACAAAGCGGCGGATGATTAGGGGAAGCCTTGTCCGCAGTCGTTGCCGTATTGATATTGAACCCCCTTCCCGATTCCGCAGCCCTCCTCGTTCTCCTGAACCTCCTCCCCTTCTCCTCCCGCTGCTGCTCCTGATCATGTTCCATGTCCTGCCTATATGGCTGCTCCTCGACGATCCCGTCGCTGTCGACGTCGGCGTCTCCCTCAACCTTCCCCTCCTCCCCTCCTCCCCCATTCTCCGTCTCCATCCTTTCTCCTCATAAACTACGCTACCGAAGAACCCTGGATACTTAGGCTAAGTCTCATGGGCTCGCTCAGCATTCTTTCATATGCGCGACATCCTGTGTTCTGAGCACTCGTGGCGAATGTGTCCGGGTTTGTCATCCAACGCACTTAAAACATCTGCAGCTGCAAGCGCCGAGGCGGCAGCTTCGAACTAGCACACGCGGGCGGCGTCCCGCTGAAAGGGGACCTCCGCCGCGCCAGCGCAGAGACCCTGGCGGCGTGGCGCAGAAGCCACGCCGTCTTGCGCGTTCAACTCTAGCCAAAGTGTTTACGGTCCTGCTATGCGCTGTGGATAAAGCGCCACGTCGGCCATGCTCTGCGCAAGTGGCCCTCATAGAGGCCGCGCTGCGGGACCACGCCCCGCGCACCACCTCTGGTGTCGAGGAACTGCCATGCCTGCCACGTTCTGCGCCATGGCCCGCATAGAAGATGGAAGCCACACTTACAGACCACCCCCTGCGCGCCCCCTCTCGTTTCGAGAAAATGCCACGCCTGCCATGCCCTGCGCCATGGCCCGCGTAAACGCCGCGCTCAAGGACCACCCCTGGCACACCCCCTCTGCTGTCGAGAAAGTGCCACGACTGGCACGCCTTCTGCCATGGCCCGCCCAGCAGCCGCACTCAAGGATGATCCCGCACCCCCCACCTCTGGTGGGAAGAAAATGCCGCCCGCTCCCGCCATGCCCTGCGCCGTCGCCCGCCTAGAGGACGCGCGCAAGGACCACGCCCCGCGCACCACCCTTGGTGCTGAGAAAGTACCATGTCTGCCGTGCCCTGCGCCACGGCCCGCATGGAGGCCGCGCTCAGGGACCATCTTAAATCTACAGGGGCTTCACGCATGGAGGGCGGCATGCTTTCAAACTATGGCTCTCGCCTCCGCGCCGCGCTGGTTTTCAACATGGGGCGCTCGCCTTCGCGCCGCGCTCACTCGGAGCGTGTGCAGAATATCCAAACGTTGAGGGCGGGTGGCTTTCAAAGTGTGGCTCTCGCCTTAGCCTCCTCCTCCTCCTCCTCCTCCTCGTCCTCCTCGGATTCGCCGCACAGGCTTGCACGAGCTGCGCGGGTGGAGGCCTGCTCCTCTTCCAGAGTGGGGCTCTCGCCGTGGCGCCGCGCACGGTCGTCGTAGAAGTACCCAACAGCTTCACAGACCGTAGGACGCTCCTTTTCCACAGATGGCCCTGGCCGGAACGTCGCGCACATTCGCTGCGCAAGCCTGCAACCGTTTGACGGATTCTTATTTTTTTGGCCGTCCCAGACCTGGTGTTCCAGCAGCTGCCGCACGGTTTAGGACCATCGGGGAGCGACGGTCACGTTGATTCGCGGTGTCGAAGTCCCAAGAGGGGTGTTCTGGCACGATTAAGGATCGTCCGGACGCAACAGTAAAGTTGATTCGCGGCGTTGGAGTTCAAGAAATGGTGTGTTGGCAGGGTCAAGAATTCTCAGGCGGGTGTCCTCCAACGGAACACTTCCAGAAGTGAAAGCGAATTCTTGTACGGACCTACAAGGAGGAAGCGTGGGAGGAAGGTGCATTGCAATATCGTTGACGTCTTGGGTCTGCACTGGTCCCCCCCTCCTCCCCGCGCACCTCCTGCTTCACCTCTCCAACCCCTTCCTTGCTCCCTCAGCCTCCCCCCTCCCCCTTCGCTCAAGTCGGGCGTGCCCCCCATACAGGGGGATTTTGGGCGAAAAATGAAAAAATACTCAACAAATACCCCCCCCAATGCTCAAGAATAGGTCAAACATCGTCCCCCGACTAGTTTTTTGCATACGTTTGGGTACTCCCTCCTGTAAGGAGGGGACACGCCCGACTTCACCCCTCGCGCCTCCTCCCTGCTGCTGCTGCTGCTGCTGCTGCTGCTGCTGCTGCTGCTGCTGCTGCTGCTGCCTCCGCCCCAATCACCCCTGCCCGCGGAGCGCGCCTGCCGCGGCACCGAGCCGGCCGATCCCTCGGGCACGGGCGGCTGCCTCCCGTCCGCGGGCCCCGGAGGTCTCGGCCCCTTCGAAGGGGCACAGGCACACACAGAGAAATAGACACTCGAACAACAGGATTCGCCTTTTTCGTTTTCTCATACTTTCTGGGCTTTCGTCCCCCCCCCCACCACTTCCCACATTTTCGCATATTCTCTGGGGAATCGACGAATAATAATTGTGCCTGTGTGTTTCTTTCCCTCCTGACCCTTCCCCAGGGGGCGGCCCGTCATCCCGGCCCAGTGTTCGGGGGCCCTGGGGCGCCAAAAAGCGGCCGGCTCCGGGAGGCCGACTCGGAAGAGAACCGCCGGGATGGAACAAACAAACACGTAAGGAATGGCGGA